GCATCCTCATCCACTTCATCAACATGTTCGTCATGCAGGGGAATGATATCACTCCTCTCTACCCAGGACAGGTGAGTGTGTGTTTACTGTATCATCTAAATAATAATTTATCACTATTTTTTATCTTTCTTAATATTTATTCTTTGCTATCACGACTCCACAGATCGGGCTGCAAATCTTCTTAGTTGTAATAGCGATGCTGTCGGTTCCTGTGCTGCTGTTAGGAAAGCCCCTCTACTTGTTCTGGCTGTATCGTGGAGGCAAAGGCCTGCGTAGACGCAGAGTGAGTCCAGCTCATGAACAAAAATGTCATACGTCTTTCTCCTCCTCGAGCAGTTTGTGGTTTCATGAAAAACTGTTGTCACACCTCAGGGTTATGAGAGGGTGAGGCGTGTAAGCGAGGATGATAATTCCACAGCGCCGGCCTATGAAGATGACGAAGAGGAGGGATTTGACGAAATAACCGGCAGAGAAGCTCTCCCTAAAGAGGTCAGAGATCCACCATCCTCCTGTCCCCATGTGTTGGATGTTGCATTTCAAGCTGCTTTGTTGTGAACGGAACACTGTATGTGACGTTTTGAGGGGTGTGTGCTGCATGAGGCTTATTTGCTTGGCTAATGGAACAATGTGCTGTGGTCATTAAGATCAGGTTAGTGGTCGTAGAAGAGAAAAATCGAGCAGCAGTAATAGTAAGGGGAGACCATAGACTGTTTACAGAGATGGACGACACATCTCCACATCCTCCCATTATTGAGAAATGATGCCAAAATGTCCTGTATGCGAAAGAGTGCTTTGGCTTTTTAGTTTGGTCCTTGTCCCATCTGCTAACATGGAGGAGGTGGGGTTTATGACCTGGTGGCTGTCTGCAGTATGACTTCACTTTTGGGGAGCAGTCTTGTGTTTATAAACAGTCTCTGAATCACCAAACAGTTCATTGTTAATTAAGTGTGGTGTCTTATGTGTTGTTAAAATGTGTGTTTACAGTTTGACCTCGCAGATGTGCTCCTGCATCAGGCCATTCACACCATAGAGTACTGCCTGGGCTGCATTTCCAACACCGCTTCCTACCTGCGTCTCTGGGCCCTCAGCTTGGCTCACGCCCGTAAGTGCAGTCGCAGGGAAACGATTTAACTTTCACCAGTGTTATTTCTGTATCTAAGCAACCAACAGCAGCGCAGACAATCTGCTTCCTGTTTACCCTAGCGCCCAGTATGTGTATGGTTATGTGATTTTTGTCTTCAGGTGTGTTAGCATTGACAGAGATCATGACTGATTACTGATTGGCTCATTTAAAACAAAAACGTAATATGGATGTAGCCTTTGTTTGTACTGACTTCCACTTTGCGTTTCTTTGACTTAAACATCAATGTGCTCACGTGTGTTTGCTGTGTGTCTTAATGGATCTTGATTCCATTGGTTTCCTCAGAGCTGTCAGAGGTGTTGTGGTCCATGGTGATGCGTCTGGGTCTGAGGGTCACCACGAGAATCGGGGTCCTGTTTTTGGTCCCTGTGTTTGGCCTCTTCGCCGTGCTCACCGTGTCCATCCTGCTCGTCATGGAAGGCTTGTCGGCGTTCCTCCATGCTCTCCGCCTCCACTGGTGAGTCTTAGAAGTTACAACTGATCTGGATGCTCACGATCAATTGTTTAGTTTGACGATATAATAGGAATACAGTGATATGAGACTAGATATCAGCTGTGTCCCTCGGAGGCTGCATTTGAAAACTCACTGCTCCATGGTGGCATGACATGGCTGTTCCATTTGGAAGCCACGAGTAGCAAGCAATGGGTGGATCCTTCTTGAACCTATCCCAGGATTCATTGCTCTTCAGAGACAAATTTAAAACAAGACAATGGTGGGGGCAAGCAATAACATCAAAATATTTGATGCTTCTACTTTTAAATCTAAGTATCGGGCTTCAACTCCACTGAACTGTTAACAATACACATGTTAGAACACCAAGTAGCATTAAAACTTTCTTGTCGTGTCCAAGTGCAGCTGTGTTGCTGGGGAAAGCAGTAAGAACGGGACAAGCTGGTAACGTAAATCATGGAAAACCTCTTTGGACCAGACCGTCTGGTTTAAGTTAAAACCAGTTACGAAGTAGACTGCGTCCTTCGAGGCGGCCCCTGAATTGGGACACAGCTATTGTCCTTGTAGCTATTGTGATATCTAAACTGATCTAAACTAATGTATGGTATTGAATGTGAGCCTTAATGATTCACTTTTCCTATTTGCATTCACATTCCTCATCATTTACTCTGCCTTCATTAAATCGTTCCTGCTTGCTTCTGTAACTCAGGGTGGAGTTTCAGAACAAATTCTACCACGGAACCGGTGTCAAGTTCGTACCCTTCGACTTCTCCCTCCTGCCGTCTGTTTTTGAGCAAGATGGCTTACTTTAAAAAAAAAAAAAGGACTCCAAAGTGCTGGATATGAGTCGGGAGCAGACTTTATGGATGGGACAGATGCTGGAAGCTGGCACAATTCACACTGTGACAACAAACCTGGGAGACGGTGGATTGAAACTCACTCTTGTAGCAACATTTTTCACCACCACAATTTTTAAAATCGTATCGGCTGTGCTGACTGCCTTACTACTGTACCCAGCAGACCTCTGAATATACAGAGGTTCAAAAAGTTTGTTCTGTCATTTGATTTCTAGGTGAGACATCGCTCAGCATTACCTCTCACACCACTTGGGTTTAAATCTTCTCAATATTTAATTTGCATCGTGCGGCGTAAAACTGGTTTTGTATTATTTGCAACATGGTATTTAAAATGAACGGTAAAAGGGTACGATGGTAACTTTAATTATGTTGCTGGAGACCATATGAAGCATCCTTATGTAGTGCCATAGATTTATTTCTAATGAAGATGATGATATTGGGATGCTTTTGGTTTTTTTTTTTAAAACTGCGCCTCCATGTGGTGACGGAAAAGCTGCGGGCATCAAAATAAAAAAAAACCAGTTACAACCCTTTTTGAGGCATATTGTCACAAAGCACTTTGCAGAAATGATTGTACAATTTAAAGTTTTCACTAATGACTGTGATGATGCCAAATGAAAATAATCTGCTTCTTTACTTATTAATGCGTTTATTTAAATAGAGCCTCCCCTGTAACCGATATCAGATACTCCGGATTAAAGTCAAGAAGCCTTTAGTCTTTCTTTGGTGATATTGCTTATTATACTTGTTAAAGGTTATATATACAAGATTTTTAATATGAATAAAGCAGCTGACAACTGTTTTCTATGTAAAGACATAGAGGAGTAATGGCGTCCTGAGCAGAGAATGAAGTCCCAGTTGTTTTCTTCTCTGTTCTCTGTTTTGGAAGCTAGACTGGGTGGGTGCAATGTAACGATGCCATCACAGCTACATCTTATTTTTATTATGTACAGCACAGCTATGTTAAAGCAACTATACTAAGTTTTTTTTTAACTTAAAACAGTATTGGTTTGGTTTCAGTGACAGCTCTCGTGGGTAATATCCACATGTAATCACCATGTGTGGCTGCAGAGGGCGCTGTAGCTCAATAAAAGTTACATAGTGATGCTTTAATGAGAGTGTGCTGTGCTTACTCTTACAATACATTTTAAAAACAAACACTACCAACCAAATTGTCTCACCTGTAGGCTCTGAATCTGACAGGATCACCAACCTGAGGATGAGACAGATCTGTTTCATCAGCAACAGATAGCTGGATTCTTCTTTGTTGGCTCTCCTGTATTCAGGGTAACGTTACTCAGTTGTGCTTCTGCTTGTGTGTTTAGTTGCTTCCACTGGCCTCTGCATCATAGATCTGTAGACCACACCTTACTGAGAAAACAAAGGGAGGAGACAAAGCCTTTCTTTTGGTGCCAGTGTGACATCTAGTGGCAGTGAATGTTGTATATATAACCTTTAATAATAATTATTATTCATTGTATTTATTTATATTATCGTCTGTATGAGATTCAAATAATTTACCATTTTGATGTGTTGTTTTGAGAAGTGCAAAGCAAATAAAAGCATTCATGTTCAATGCCATTTTCTTAGCTCTCTCATTCTTTTATCTCAGAGGAAAGCTGTTTGGTTAAAAAAAAAAAAGAAATTACTTATCAGTCGCTGCCCCTGAATGAGAAACAGGGCAAAGTTTGCACAGCTTTCATCTTTGCTGTGTATTCTGAACAACATCCCTTGAGAGAAAACATGTCAGTGGTCATTTTCTGCTTTTTAGAGAATTTGCTCTAAAATTGAAAAATTGCAAAACCGATTTTCAATAATTTGTTGTGAAATGTTTGTCACTCAAGCTTTCATTAAACGATAATTTGATTTACCACGGATATGAGCATAAAACTATAGTAACAACCATTTTGAGGGAAAATTGAGTTCAGTACAAGATGCATAGTACAAGTGGGCCACTGCAGCACAGTACTTAATGTACTTTGTTACACACCACCACTGCTCATGTACACTTACAACCAAATATATAGAACTTTAATTCAGAAGATTTAACATGTTTTTTTCCATATAAATGTAAACATAAATCTGTTCTATCTGAATGTAGCTATAAGGATTTCCTCGGGAACGTAACGTTCGTTTGAGTCTTGATGCAGAAAATTGCAATAAATGCCATGTCACACACACACACACACACACAGACACACACACACAGAGAGAGAAGCTGCACCCATATGCTACACTCCAGTGATGAGGACGTCATCATCTCTCTCTGTCTCTCTGTCTCTCTCTCTCTCTCTCTCTCTCTCTCTCTCATATCCACAGGCTGTATTGTTACATGGTGTTGTGTTGTTGCTGTAAGGGAACGTGCAGCAGCCTCAGCAGTTTCATGCACGGATGTGGTTTGTTGCAGGTGTTGGACCTTTTCAGAAACTCCAGGAGCATCATCACACAGCTGCAGGCTAACAGCAGCTTTAGCTCAGGACTCAGTGCACTGCAGCTCTCTCTCTCTCTCTCCCTCTCTCTCACACGCAGCTAGCTAACAGCTGTTCTCCGGATCTCTCCATCCTGACCGGACCGACGTTCACGGCCGAGCGGAGCTAATGAACGAGCTGGTGAAGAGTTTACCGTCCCCGACCCTCCCGGGGCTCCACCTGCCGTGCGTGGACACCCACAGGGGCTGGCTCTTTAAATGGACCAACTACCTGAAGGGCTACCAGCGACGCTGGTTCGTCCTCAGCAACGGCCTCATGTCCTACTACAGGTAACTGACGCTCACACACGGGAACATACGGGAACTAATGGACACTGATGGGAACTAACAGTTACTAGACATCGCTAGTGGGAATGTATGGTCATACCCGGAACTAATGGGAACTCACATTCACTAACAGGAAAAAATTGTCAATAACTATCACTAACAGGAACCACTTAACATCACTAATGGGAACTAATGGTCACTATTACTAACAGGAACTAATGGAAACTAACAGGAACTAACCGTCACTAATGGGAACTAACGGCCATTAACAGGAAACAAATTGTCGCTAACAAGAACAAATTGTTATTAACGGGAAGTAACGGTGACTAAACATCACCTGTGGGAATTAATGATCATTAACAGGAACTAACGATCATTAACAGGAACTAACGATCACTAACAGGAACTAACGGTCACTAAACATCACAACAACAATTGTCATATCAGCCATATCAATAATCATCACATTATTAAGTGAAGCACATGAACATCTATCTTTTTGCTCTGCTGTCATAAACTACATTTGACTCTGTGTTTACTGCTTTCCCTCAGGACTCAGGCAGAGATGGCACACACTTGCCGGGGCACCATTCCCTTGGCCACGGCGCACATTGAGGTGGGTGACACCTGCCACATGGTGTTGACCAGTGGAGGCCGAAGCTACCACCTGAAGGCCACATCTGAGGCAGAGTGTCAGTGCTGGGTGTCAGCTCTGCAGCAAGCCAAGGCCAACGCCACGCTCCTGATGCATCACTCAGGTGAGAAGGACTGTTTATACTCGTGTGTCCTGTATGTTTCAGTGAGCAACAATATGGTTTTCAGCCCTTCTACGAAGATACAATGCCAGCTCTTGAAACGAGCAGGCTTTATAAGTAGGGACAGGGGTGACTGTGATTCTTTCTGAGCTATAGATTTAAATTTATTGTTTCTTTTAAGAAATTAAATCCTAGAATATTCACTGAAGGGGAACAACATGGTTCATCTGTGACAGTGTGAAGGAGACAAAACAGCTGCATCCTGTCTGCAGGCTCCTGCAACCAAGACCCACTTACCTCAATGCTTTTTTTAGTTCTGAGTTCCCTTTGTGTTATTGGACAAAAAAATCACAAGAGGGCAGTGTTGTTAAAGATGTGTTGAAGGAAGTGTTGATTTGTTCAATTCAAAATCCATGAATTCAATCATGTCATCCACCACAGTATAATATAATATAATATAATATAATATAATATAATATAATATAATATATATAACATGTTTTCCATTACATGATTCTGAGGGACATTTTCTGTTTGCTGCCTCTTTGTGGAGGAGCAAAGATGCTCGGTGACGTTTTTCCGCTCTCTCTCTCTCTCTGTCTCTCCCTCTGTTGCTAGAATGTGCACAAGCACACACACACAGCTACCTCCTCCCTCCCTCCCAATCCGTCTCCTCTCGCCCTCCCTGTCTCCTTCAGTATGACGACAGCGAGGGTTGAATGAAATGACCTTCCTTTAGACTCCTCCTTCCGTTCTGGTAGCAGGAGGAGTTAAAAAAAAAAAAGAGAGAGAAAGAGGGAGAGAGCAGAAGGATTTGAAGATTTTCATTCAAAATAATCTTCACTACACACTCACTGGACAATAGGGAGACAAGAGTGCAGCCTTCTCAGTGAGCGACACCTTGTAAGTGACATCCTTGTTGATAATTTACTGACAACAAAATAAGAAGCATATTAAATGCTTTGTGTGTGCTTTTGTGCTTGTTTGCATGAACGTGTGTGTTTGTAATTGTGTTTTTGGAGTTCCCTGAGTTTGCAATTATCAAATACTGTATTCTGTCCACCTGTCTGTCTAAATGTGGCGATGGAAACTCAACAGTACGGCATCATAAAGTGATGGTCGAACAGCAGAGCTTTATTTAACAGTCAGTCTCAGTCACATGTTACATATTTATCTTATTTGTTTGCAGCCAGAAGAATCATTTCTGAGGGGGGTGTGTCTGTAAGCTCTCTTTAATGATGAGTAAAAGCTTTGCCCCTGCAAGATGCAAATCAGTGTTTTCTGTTGCTGTGGCCTCATTAGCGTAACAAGACCATGATGGATATGTGATTTCTTTGTGCTGTATCTACTGAGCTGGTAGTGATTACACCTAAAATATTAAACAGGATTTATAGACCTGAGCTTATTTTGTTTTTTTCTCTCTGGGGTTTCCCAGGGTTCGGAAATTGTATTCAAAGTGCTGTCATTATATGTTTTGGCTATATTTTCTTTTTGCAATCATTTATTTTGTATAATAATATCCTTCTAATCTAATGTGCTATTCTTCAACAAATAGTAGTCATGTATTGTCTATTTCACACAATTGTAAGCACAATAATGTATTTGTTTTTATTTACCTGCAGAGGCTAATGTATGTGCACAATTTATTATTGCATGAGCCTTTGTTCCAGTTGGCATGTTCTCCAATGTCTGTGTGGGTGTTCTCTGACTTCCTCCCACCATCTAAAGACATGAAGACAGGGGTTAGGTTGATTGGAGACACTAATTTGATCGTAGGTGTGAAAGTGAGCTTGACTGGTTATTTGTCTCCGTACTTCGGCCCTGTGTGTGCCCCGCCTCTCGCGCGGGGACAGCTGGGATTGGCTCCAGCTCCAGGATAAACTGTGTAGATAACGGATGGATGGATGGATGGTCCAGGGCACAGTGGCAATAATAGAAGAGCCAATTGATTGACTTACACTGGATTAGAACATCAGTAATAAAATGGATTTTTCACCATGTTGTAACAGGTATAATCTAAACACTACAGGCTTTTAAATAATAAAATAACATTTTCAGTGTGACAGATTTCACACTGCTCTAACAATCATTAAATATTGAGTCAAAAGTTCAGCATCTGTGGGTGTGAGAGTGAATCTGATGAAATGTTTACAAAGAGAACACGGTGCGGCTCAGCTTGTGATTCAGAAAATCTCCCAGCTCGTTATTAGCGTTGATCTTCATCAGCTCACAGTTCGGTCCTCTCTTCCCACAATGTGTCCACATTGGTGCTGCCTCCATCACCTGTGGGTGTGCTACCATGATTCAACAATGAGTCACCGCTTCGTCTCAGACGCTCCACAGTGTCCTGTGTGAAAACGAACTCATTAGTGCACATAGACCAAACAAGGGTTCCTTTCTGGTGGAAGCACATTATTATTCCATGGAAGTGGGTGAACGGAGAAGTGCACATCCATAAACGTAAGCATGGTTAGGTAGCAAATGGACCCGCATCTCATATCTATAATCTCTGGTTCATTTCTCTCTCTCTGCTGTATATGGGTCATGAAACCATTTCAGATGCTTGAAGGATTTTTTACCCTCTAATTTCCAATCTCCTCCTCCTGAGACTTTGTTAATCCAGTTTGCTCTAATTGTTTTTATTTCTTTCCCCCTCTAATAGAGTGTTGTAGCTTGTTTCCCTGCTTTGGTTTTCACAAGTAAAGCAGACACTGGCCTAGATTCTGTCAACAAGCTCAGGAGTTTACAGAGTAAACACACACACAATCCGTTTTCTGTTGCAATTTGTTGACCTAGAATGGTTCAATTACATATGATGGATGCGGCTATTTGCTGGATTCTTTGGGTCGATAGCTCAAAGCATGAAACCAGACATGATCTAATTTTGCAGGCTTTTTAACAAGTCACGTTTGTTTACATCCCATTTATGTATTTATTAAATATGTGTAATTTAATTCAGTTTCTTGCAATATCCTAATAGTCTGTTTGTACCATATTTATCTTTTTTATTTTTTACTTTCTAGATTGCTTTTATACCTACTTCAGAAACTCGGGAAACGAAAGCATTAAACATTCTGGATGCAATGTAATTTCGTTCTACTGTGCGCTTGTCTTGTGTGTGGTGTGAATAACAACAAAGTGAATCTCAAGAAAATGTGTTTTGCAGTTATTTTTTATGTCAGGGTGCAGTCACATACAAAAAATACATCTTTAGTGATTTAAATTTAATCCTGCAGTGGAACATTTATAAAACTTGAAATTTGTGTGTCGACATCTCTAGATCATAATTTTCATGTTGTGGTGTCTGGCTCGGAGTCCAGTCTCCCTCATCTCCTTTTCTAATCCCTGAGACTGATCGCTCAGCTCGCGCCAATCAGTGGCAGAGAGAGAAGGAGAGAAAATGAAAGAGAGGAGGAAAAGGGTAGTGCGTCATCTTTTTTTTCCCTCCCTCTTCTTCTAAAAATAACCTTGCCTCCTGATTGCACAGGACCACGTTTCCAGGGCAACAGTGTTCATTCACAGTTTTCCGATATAGAGGAAGGGGTGTGGGGGGTTCAGGGAGTGAAGCGTTATTATCATCCCCCATCCATTACTCACTACCAGTCTCTCAACTCAATCCCAATCAAAATGTATTTGAAATATTAATCTGTGCAATGAGACACGAGATGAGATTCCACCACCACAAACATCCTGTGATTTATATATTAATAACGTCTAATAATCCTCTTGTCTCTTTCTATTGTCATTTTCTTTTCTCTCTGTGTAAAGATGACTCAGGAGATGAAGGCCCTGTACCTCAGGAGGACCGTGCCCTAACCCAAGGGGTGCTCAAGACTCTGGCCGGCAAGCTGGACGACCTGAGCACCTGTAATGAGCTGATTGGAAAGCACGGCGCCGCTCTCCAGCGTTCCCTCAGCGAGCTCGAGGAGCTGCGTGGATCCGCAGACAGCACAGACAAAGTGAAATCTGTGAACGAGCGAGCCACCCTGTTCCGCATCACCTCCAATGCTATGATCAATGTGAGTTCACACAGTGCAAAGCCTCAGGCAGCATGTAACCCCTGTAAGAGGGAGACATGGGGGGGGCACGCAGCATGAGAGCTCCGCCTGCGTATTCTCACGTGTGTTGTGTTCACACTTGTCAGGCTTGTCGTGATTTTCTGGACGCAGCAGAATCTCACAGCCGGAGGTGGCAGAAGGCCCTGCAGCATGAGAGAGAACAGCGCCACCATCTGGAGGAGACTATCGAACAGTTAGCCAAACAACACAACAGCTTGGAGAGAGCCTGGAGAGAGAATCCCACCTCATACACAGGTGAGACACATCACACACTGTCTCAGAGACGTCCTCCTCAGTGTTGGTCTCACAGAATAAACATAAAGCATCTTCTTGCCAGAAAGAGTGGTGCATGTTTGTCACAGAAATTAAGCGTATTCAATCAGTATTTTCTATCATATCTCAATTTGTATCATATTAAATGCATTCTCATGGGAAGTCAAAGTAAAAGAAACACCCAACAACCAAAAAAAACAGTTTTTTATTTTTATTCTTTTTCTGGCCGTCCTGTTTGTCTGCACGTTCTGTGTTCTGCAAGACACAAAAACTACCAGACGGATTACCACAAAACTTAGTGGAAGGATGTGGTATGGGTCAGAGAAGTGCCCAGAAAATGTGTGTGTGGATCCGAATCGGAGGGTAAATTCAGGAATTCATTTATTTCCTTCTTAACATTGCGAGATTGGACGTTTTTCCACAATTTCCCAGGGAATAATTCATGGAGATGGAGGTCAAGATAATTAAGTCTAAATAAAAAATGTTGAGCTCCTGCACTCTGTACTGGAGGGTTATTTATCACAATATAATTTCCTTATAACCACTGTGAATTATGTTAAACTGTCTCTGTTATTTGATCACCCCTTGAATATCAGCACTACATTATGTATGATGTATGTACTGTATATTTATGGTGGAGGACAGGCTAAGCATTGTCCTTGTCCTGCGTCCGCTGCAGGTGTGGAGAGGTCTCAGGAGGGGGATGCAAGTGATGAGAATGATGACGCAGAGTTCTTCGATGCCATGGAGGACTCCACTGCATTCATAACCGTGACAGCCAGCGGCAACGTACAGCACAAGTGAGACATCACGTCTGTGCATCATAATATCAGAGCTCTGATCAATCCACAGAACTGTATTTTAAGTTTGTTGTTTTCTCTCAGGCGCTCAGGGAGTAATCAGAGTATGATGAGCGGAGGAGTGCCCAATGACTGGACTCACAATGAGAATGTAGGTCCCCACTTCACTTATGTAAATTAAACTTGTTCTCCTTTGTCTTATGCAAACAAAAAAAAACGTCTTTTTCTTTTCAGGACACATCTGGCACCAACCACATGCAACTTCAAAGAACAAGACGCAGCCGTATTCCTGACAAACCAAATTACTCCCTCAATCTCTGGAGCATCATGAAGAACTGTATTGGCAAAGACCTGTCCAAGATACCCATGCCTGTAAATACAAAAAATTATAATTGTTTGTAGTGTAGTTTTCTATTATGCCTCCACACCAGTGGTCAGAGGTATGTTTTCAAGTTGTCTGGCCGTCTGTCCCCTTTTGAACACGATCTCTGAAGATCAGAGAATTTCTTCAAATTTAGTACAAACATTCAGGTGGACTTATGGTGATTAGATTAGATTTCAGTGGTCAAAGGTCATGGTGACCTCATATGAGTCTGGAAAATAAATAATGTGGATTGAAACTCCACTTGTTAGCGGGGACATACAAACACAGGGGGTTATTACATGTGGATTTGAGTTAACAGGTATTCATATGTAATCTTTAGGATTATTTACAAGAAACCTTTTGTGTCTGTTTGATTTTAGGTAAACTTCAATGAGCCGCTGTCGATGCTGCAGCGTCTGACCGAGGATCTGGAGTACAGCGAGCTTCTGGACCGAGCAGCTCGCTGCGACTCGTCCCTGGAGCAGATGTGCCTGGTGGCGGCCTTTTCTGTCTCCTCGTACTCCACCACAGTCCATCGCACAGCCAAGCCCTTCAACCCTCTGCTGGGGGAGACCTATGAACTGGACCGACTGGAGGAGTATGGTTACCGCTCCATTTCTGAACAGGTGAGAATAAAAAAACCTACACACAGAAATATAAATGAAATAGGATGTGTCTATTGCCTCTGCTGACAACAGCTGATGCCATTTACTCTCAGGTGAGTCATCACCCACCAGCCGCCGCCCACCACGTGACTTCACAGAGGGGATGGACGCTGTGGCAGCACATCACTATCGACAGCAAGTTCCGTGGGAAATATATCTCTGTCGTTCCATTAGGTGAGAACTTCAAACACACCATAGCACTGATGTAGTTCACTTTGACAATCAGTGTTCAGTCTCCTTCTATTCCATCAAAGGTGTGTACGAAACAAATCAAAGACACGTGAGGACAGGAAACTCAATACTGAAGCAAACATGTTTTTATTCTTTGTATGACAGAGCACAGAACAAATCAGACATGCAAACAGTGTGCAGATCCAGATCTCCTCTCTGACATGTTCTTTTGACCCACTCATGCTCCTGCTAGACTCATGCAATATTATTGATTTGTGCAGCTACACAGGAAATTGTCTTATTGGTCTAGTTCTGCAATATTGGTGAGTCATCACTGTAGCAGTTGCTAGGAAACCCCCCTAATTATCAGAGGTGCTGGTTCTCCACTGGAACAATAGTGCACATCTCTCTTCAGTTTCTACTGAAATTGCCTCCTCAGGTCTTTATGATCCTGCAGGTCAGGATAACCTTTCTCTTCTCTACTGCTCTGCCCACTTATCATTAAACATCCAATTACTATTGAACTGTAAGTGCTGTAAATCATTGAATACATAACTACAAACTAGATATGATCTGTCACTACACCCAAAACATTTGTAAGAACATGAATAATTTGCCACAATCAAGTAATGAAGTTATGTGTGTCTTCATTCTGTTCACTGTAGGAAACATTCACCTGCAGTTCCACTCGAGTGGAAACCATTATGTGTGGAGCAAAGTGACCTCGACGGTGCACAACATTATTGTGGGAAAACTTTGGATTGATCAGGTTTGTTCCCCTGAAATAATTCCTATTTAAATTGGCCAAAAGAACACAACAACCAGTTTCTGACTTTGAGTTTATGTCAGAGCAGTGAAAAATGTGAAAATAAAAACTTCATTGCAAAAGTCATCTATGTCTTCTATTTTCCTTACTGTCTTCCTGTCTGTTGCCGTTGGCAGTCGGGGGACATTGACATTGTGAACAACACCACCAAGGACACCTGTCGTCTCAAATTCTCCCCCTACAGCTACTTCTCCAGAGAAGTCCCACGGAAAGTATGTTCGTTCTACCTTTTCCTTCTGACAGCCATCTTTGTTAGTTATCTTCATTCAGATTTCACAGCAACAGTTTTATCCTCCTCCAATATTCTCTGTCAAGACTCCACAACACTGTTTTAGCAGATTAAGCATCTCTAATAAATTTCACATATCTTTCTCTCTGTTTCCTCTGTGTTTATTGTTTACCACTGGAGATCACCTACAACATTATTTCTGAAAAATGCTTGTGACATAATATCAGTAATAAGGAGCAGGAGCATGAAAATATATTCTCTCCCTGAAGCTTTTCTCCCATTTGGTCCAATCTGCAGAATTATTAAAAATTTCAAGCGGATACAACATCTGGAAGAGTGACATTAGAGAAATAGTACTGCTGTGAAACTGCCAGGTCAGACTGTGCATATAACTGGTGTCTTCTTCTCTGTTGTCTCCAGGTGACAGGAGTGGTCGAGGACAGAGAGGGCACGGCTCATTACATCCTGTCAGGGACCTGGGACGACAAGATTGAGGGTGCCAAAATAGTGGACAGCAGCCAAGGATGTGGCGGCTCTGAGGGCAAACAGAAGACAGTTTATCAGACTCTTCAGCCCAAACTCCTCTGGAAGAAATACCCCCTCCCGTATGTGTATCTTATCTAAAGCACCCCCCCACCCATGACCTGCATCTGACCTTTTGTCTTAATGTGTTCTCTCCTCTATCTTTCACTGTATAGAGATAATGCGGAGAACATGCACTTTTTCTCCGCCCTGGCTTTGACTTTGAACGAACAGGAGGAGGGGGTTGCACCCACTGACAGTCGTCTGCGGCAAGACCAGCGGCTAATGGAGGCAGGTCTGTGGGACGAAGCGAATGGCCAGAAGCAGCGACTGGAGGAGCGTCAGAGGCTGGAGAGGAAAAGACGTGGGGCGCAAGCAAATCAGGCCCTGGAGGAGGGTGAGAGCAAGGACTACAAGGCCAACTATACATAACAAAAAAAAAGTTTCATTTTAGAACATAGGACAAGATGTTCCCTTGTATATTCTCCATCTTGTCCTATGTTCTAAAATGACACTTCTCTTTGGTTATGTTTTGTCACCACAAGTGATTATATTTTTGTAGCAAAGCAATAAGTTGTTTGTGAACATTTTACTCACACATTCACTATCAGCACATTTGCTACTTGACAAATATGTAAATCAGCAGCAAATTATGATTATGATACTAATAACAAACTTAACCAGATCACAGTTATGGTTGCTGCAAAATGTATTTTTGCAGTTTAGCTTTATGGTCTTTAGAACCTGACTTATATGTCTTGGGGTGGAACATAGACAGTATTTACTCTCTTTCTTCAGACAGAGTTCTTTCTCACGAAGACTGCAGTATTTACACAGTATGGAGAAAGTAGCACATTATGCACATGCAAGCCAGGTCTTAAAACAACATGATTCTGTGTCATTAGGGCAAGACATCGAGGGCTACCAGCCACTGTGGTTTCAGAAGAGGACAGATGACACAACAGGAGAAAATACTTACATCTACAGGGGCGGCTACTGGGAAGCCAAAGACAGACAGGACTGGACCCAATGCCCCGAGATTTTCTAAAAGACAAAATGTTCCCTTTCACCACAGCATCAGATCGGCTGAATGGTTCCTCCTGATTCTCTGCGAGTTATACACAGTGTGTGTGTGTGTGTGTGTGTGTGAGAGAGAGTGTGTGAGTGAGTGAGAGTGTGTGTGAGTGAGTGAGAGAGTGTGTGTGTGTGCACATGCAGAATTTCGAACACGAAGCTCCAACTCCCAGTGACTGATCTACTTAATTCTGTTCTGTTATAGCTTGTGCTTTCAGAATGCATACCCTCGCTTCAGCAGAGAACTAATTTATGATTTGTGTGTGTGTGTGTGTGTGTGTGTGTGTGTGTGTGTGTGTGTGTGTGTGTGTGTGTGTGTGAGTTGAACGGTTTCATTTCCTGGTGTGAGTGTAAGGGAATAACCTAGGGGGCAAGGAGTGCTGCGAATGTTTTGGTACAGGCACTGAATGTCTTGTTCTCCTCCAAGCTGGAACACGATCCTCATGCTGGGCTGTGACAGAGACGTAAAACTTTGAAAGGACCGTAGCGGGATAAAGCATCGTTACGCACAAAGAAGGATTTTTCACAGCAGAACTTCATTTATTGATCCAACTGATCCTTGGAGATTTTTTTTTACATTCTATTTCTTAAAATTGCACAAACTGTATTTTCAAGGATTTACAGTTACAGTCAGCTGTGACAGGCTGGAGAGCAGCTTCTTTGTCATGAAAACCAAAATAGACATCTTTCTCTTTGGATGGACAACTGATGACAACCCCATGTTGTTTTACAGGTACAGCTGCACATAATTTCCAACCTGTTTCTGATGCATTAACGGGGAAATGTTACGAGGCTTGGAGAGTCAGGCTGAGTTTCACAGAATTTATTGGAGCTTGATGCATATTATCGACAAAAAGTCTTGCACCTCTGTTTAAGCAGTTTCCACCACTCACTAAACCACTTCAAATATCTCAGAGACTCACCATAAGAGTTCCACTGATGTATAATCTGCTAAACCACGGGGATTTTCTCCAGCAAGGGATTATATTGCTGTTTGGTGCTTGATGGTAATTTTAGCCTTAATTATGTAATGAAGTAGTAAAACCCTGTAAACATGTTCTCTTATATTTGGAGCAGATTATAGCAGTCTGACAGACTATGATTCCCTTTGAGGGCACTTATGTATACTTCAGGGTGAATTTCATTTTGTTTTACTCAGAATATCAGGGTTTATCATATTGGTAAGTGACAACAAACATATTCTCCCGAATTAAAATAGTTAGAATTGGCTGGTTTATATCTTTAAAAGTTTAATAATAGCACAACCTGACTTGAGAAGAAAATGCTCCAAGGTCAGAAAGGTGTTTTATGCAGCACATGTCATAGTAACAGTGTCATTTAGATGAATCATAGTTCTGAATCAGTCCAGAGCCAGAAAACAATTAAGAGAAATCTTAGCAGAACATTAGCTAACCTTTTGTGTGCAGATAAGCACTGTTCATTAGTAGTTCATATGCATTCTATTAATAAACAATAATAAGCTGTTCATTCATACTTTTCAGCTTTCTGTGTATAATAGGGCATGATGCACATTAACTACCTGGGTTGTTTTGGCCTGTATATAGCAAGAATATAATAGAAATAGAATTACCTCATTAAAAAACACTGTAAGGAAGTATTATTTCACATTACTGGTCACTATTTTAACTCTATTTGTGTAAACATAATCTTTAATCAAGATCATATAGCAGTTACTGCGATGTTGGGGAATTAAAATGATGAACATGAGTTTAATATAAAATATTGATGATACAAATAAGCACAACGTCATCTTTACATGCAGGTGTCAGTAAATGCTACATAAATTCAAAGGTTCCCATGACAATATATAGCTATGCATGGTATTAGAGTGCCCAAGCACCTCTGTAGTGAAAAGCCTCTTCACCTAGCTAACTGTAATGTGGACTTCATGATGTGAACTTAACCTTTTGTGCCCAAAGGCCTAGAAAATCTCCCATTTTTGAGCTCAAATAAAAACATTAAGTTGTCTCTGTGTTGTTGTTTACTTTAAAATCGTTCAAGTTTCCAAAGACAGATGACAGATGATAGTGATGAAGTGTCTGTCGTGAGCCCTCAAGACCAATCTTAACTTTCTCTTTCTTCTCAGAACTGCTGTTAACTCGCTTTGAAAATTGACTAAAGAAAATCAAATGTTCTTTTATGGCTGATGGATGAGACTGAATTAGATCCACTGGTCTGAGTTTAACTTCAAAAGAGCTTTAGATTGTAATGTTCACTTGCATCCACTAATCAAATTGCGTTCACATGTTAAACACTACTGTTGCTACATGCTGCATGAACTCACCCTCAACACCTCTGATGAAGACACAAATACATCTTTGGATGAATTTTGGATGATGCAATGAATAAAACTTAAGATCCACCATTCATTTCAACAAGGTTTTATAGTAATGGTTGGGACCTAGACGGAGTGATGCAAGATTATTTCCATATGAAAAGCAATTCTTAAAAAAAACAACTAGTTAATTTAAAGTAAATCATGAAAATAATCATCAGCCTTCTGATTTTCTTGGTCTCCATGAACCTAGAGTTGATAAAGACAGCTTCAGACAGGTTAGGTTACACTGCTCCCATGTTTACATGGGTGATTGTTTTGTGAACTGGCTCAAATAAATATTCTTTCGAGGTCTCTGACAGTTATTTTAGGAACATCTGCACTAAAGTCTCCTGTTTGCTGGTTAACTTGTTTATTGAGATAGAAATTTTAAAGGGATAGTTCACTGAAAAAAATGAAAATTCATAGGTGATCATTAGCATCGTGCTACATGCTGCTTGTTCCTCGTTGTGGTGTGATGACAGGAACACAATGTGTCGCTGGATGATGATGATGATTCCTGATCCGATGGAGGCTCCAATGTCTTCACTGTAACTCAGCTGCACAGTTTACAAGTGTCGTGGCTCTTTAAACGAACCCGCCAATGATAGTGACGCGCGTCCGCTCCGACTCGGCTCGGCTCGACTCGGCTCGACTTGACAGAGCGCGGTGACCGAGCAGCGGAGACTCTTTCCAGGGGGGTGATGCTGCCGTCAGTGCGGTCAATGGACTCGTTAGACAACAAGGTAAAGATGACGCAGCCCAGTGAGACTGTGGCTGGCAGCGGTGGTGGTCACGCTACCGTGCCGCTCGCTGAACGGAAGCTAACACCGCGTCAAACCGGGAGTATCACGGCCGCCGCTGCCGCCTTGTTTTGGGGCTAGCAACCTGACGCGAGCTAGCTGCTAACGTTAGCATGGCTCGGCTGCCCCGGTGCTCGGTGACAGTCCGCAGCAGAGGTCAGCCTCGCTCAACACACCTCAGCCCTCCTTTAAACCTAGACAAAATGGCTGTTCTCCGCGGTTTGACAGTGAAGTGTGACCGGATGAGAACTGTCTCGACATCATGTCTGAGCCGCTGCATCGTGTGAAGTGTTGTTGTGTCGTTACCGGGAAATGTGAAGCACGAGATCCCTGTTGATGAAGTAAGCTGCTATTTAAGGCGGAGGTTTAAACCATAACTCCGGTGAACTGCACTCAGTGATGTGTGACATATTGAGTTACAGCAGCGGGGTTGCCCCCCCCCCCGGTGTTTACTGCCCTGCTGGGGTGTTTTTGGTGCATCACACCGTCACTGTCGGTCCATTGCAACAAACCAGGGTTTGAACCAATCTGCGGAGAGGAAGGCGCGTTTCGGTTTGTTTTCCCAACCCGCCCTGGACGCCCCCCTCCTCTGTTGCTCTTCTTGTTCCAGCCTGACCGGGGCTAAGTTACACAACCAGTCCGTCATGCAAACTAGAAACACGTGTCTGCGGGGCGGCGCTCAGATTAACGCAGGTTTGCTGAACAACAAAGCAGAGCAGACTGGAGGAGGAGGAGGGGGAACCAGCTGTGTGCTTCCCTGCGATGTTTACCTCACAGTTTGAGGGGAGAGACACGGATTCAACATGTGTTTGCCTTACAGGGAGGACCATGATACGAACATGATCAGCGCCGATGGCTTCTCCAAATGCGAGGCGACTCAGCGGGAGAGAGGCAGGAGGCGGCCACCGGCAGAGATGCTCCATCTGCTGTCAGCTGTGATCGTGTGGCTGGTGACGGGCACCACCATCTCCAGCCTCAACAAATGGATATTCGCCGTGTACAACTTCAGGTACCCGCTGCTGCTGTCAGCTCTGCACATGCTCACGGCCATAGTGGTGGACTATGGGCTCATCAAGCTGCGGGTGATCCACCAGAGTGGTGCTGGAGAGCAGGACCTGACAACCAGCGCCAAGTGCAAGGTGTTCCTGTTGAGTCTGACGTTTTGCGCTAGCATCGCCTTCGGGAACATGGGTCTGAACTATGTCCAGCTGTCATTTGCACAAATGATCTACACCACCACTCCGCTCTTCACTCTCGCCATCTCCGCTCTGATACTGGGCAAGCAGCATCACATCCTCAAATACACAGCCATGATGCCCATCTGCCTGGGAGCCTCCTTCAGCATCATGGGGGAGGTCCAGTACGATCAGACCGGCTGCTTCTTTGTGTTTGCTGCAACCATGTTGAGGGGTGTGAAGTCCATTCAGCAGAGTGAGTACCTCTTTACTGTGTCACTTCCTTGTTTTCTGTCTTGTTTGTCAACACCAGACTTCTAGAAACTAATCCTCCAAGGTAATTGATTGAATTATTTTTAAACTGGAAAACTCCTCGTGACATCAGAGGATATTTTAGTGTTTCCCCCCGGGCGCCACAGCGGTCTGTGGTCCTGGAACTTTTTTGTGTTTTGGTGATTCACTCTTAAGGTGGAATGTCACAGTTGCACATGTTTTGGTTTCCTAGGCAACATAAAAACACCAGTGTGTGTTTATGGGGTAGAACTGCCAGAGTTTCCGTAGAGTGCAGCATTGTTAAAATGGCACTCAGTAGAGTGCGTACCTCCACCAAAGCCTCAACAAACACCCTTAAACTCAACAAGCCACACCAATTTACACACTCTTGTACTTAAAAAAGACTGCCTAACTCACAATGTTAAAGAAAGTTTAAAAAAAATCTCCTGGATCCAGCCATTTGTCTGAATCCACACCAAAATGTAATTAGTTCTTTCATGGAAATTATTCAGTTCAGTTTTTGTGTTATCGTGGTGACAAACAAACAAACAAATGGACAGAGATGAAAACATGACCTCCTTGACAGAGTTTGAAAACATGGTGAGACTGAACATTTGGCCACAGTTCCTCTCTTGAATTGATATCACATGGTTTGCCTTCGCTTCTCATTTATCGAATCTCAAGGAAACATTTGTTGCCGTTGTTGCTTTAAAATGTGCGTCTGTGCGGTGGATTAGTCTCTTTAGCCTCATTAGTTTTGATAACACTGTAGTGGTCAAAGAAGAGAGTTATGAGTTTCTAAATATATAATGAGTCCCCCTCTCTAATTAGTTACCTAATACAAGAGCTGATATTCGTGTTATGTCAGAGGAATGTATGCTACTTACTTTGTACCTTAAGGTACAGAGGACCGCCTCAGGGTTACATGGGCGAGTTTGTTACCAGGTTTATTATTTTAAATACTCTCCTATAGCTATTAGCAGAAGTAGCCATGGTAGTTTTATTTAATTAAAAGACTATCAGAAAGAACACTGGAATTTTTATCACCTGCTTTGGAGCAGAATTTTACACGTTTCTTTTATTTTTAATCATGGCCAACACTTAATATCTGTCCTGAGGATCCAAACTTGCTCTGCGATGTTGTCTCAAGTTTCAACAATCTATTTTCATCCTCTCTCACTTGTTGTTGCATTTCCCTGAGTTTTTGGCACACTTCAGATGTGAACATTGCTTTGTTTAAAGGACGGGACTCAATGCCTCAGTCTGTATTTACAGTGGGTGCTACAGCTGCTTTAACTCTTACTCCAACGTTGATCACCGTCATATAAAGGTGTGTCCAGACATGAAGGCATAATACACCTTTCAAACAGGAGTTTTGCATAATTCCTGCCATCTGTCCTCTTCAGAGTTCACCCTCACCTTTTCAACTGTCTGTTGCTGTTAACAGAAACGTTCTGTTCTATCACCTAAATAGTTCAAAAAAAATACAGTGCATTTATTAAAACATTTGAGGTGTAAAATATATTTTCTGTTTCAGATTCATTATTTGTGAAAAACATTTAACATCTTCTGTTTCTGATACTTCAGCTTCAGTAACAAATGCCCTAGATAGAAGATTGTTTCTGTTTTGTAAGTCTCAAGTCTTTTCCATTACAGTCATGTTTGTAACTTCTGTATATATGTCTTTGTTGAATCAGGCATCTTACTTCAGGAGGAGAAAATCAACTCTGTGTTCCTGCTCTACCTGATGTCCATTCCTAGCTTCTGCATCTTGACTGTGGCAGCTCTGACCTTAGAGAACTGGACTCTGATGGAATCGCCGCTGCATTACGACCGCCACCTGTGGGTCTTCATCTTGCTCAGCTGCCTGGGCTCAGTCATGTACAACCTGGCCAGCTGCTGCGTCATCACGCTCACCTCGGCCGTCACCCTGCACATCCTGGGCAACTTGAGCGTGGTGGGGAACCTGCTGTTGTCCCAGCTGCTCTTCGGCAGCGAACTGTCCGCCCTCAGCTGCGCAGGTGTGGTGCTGACGCTGTCCGGCATGCTCATCTATCAGAACTCTGAGTTAATCGTCAGCTGTTTTGACGCACATAGGGCCAGAGCAAAAGTGTCTGGACAGGTGGACGGTCACAGTGCATGTGGAGAGAAATCTTGTGAATCTGAACCAACGTATCATCAGCAGAGAACAGACGGCAAACAAGAAGACAAGATAGACTGAAGTGAAGGGATGAAGGAGAGAGTAATATGCAGAAGGAAAAAAAAATGCTTACAACCCTGGCTGTAGGGAGTGTGACCTTAGAAGGCCATTAACACTGAGGATGTGACAGATCTTTTATTTTAATTTAATTTTTTTTTTTACTTCCTCACTGTTCCAATTTATTTCTCCTCTGGTCACACAGAGCTCCAGTCCTCAGAGAAGAGAAGTTTGCCTTTATTTCTCACGGTGATGGTTAACTTCCCTCCTTCATTTGTACATAACCTGCGTCGTCATATGCATGCAAGAGCACACTTAACTCTTCAGTACCTCACGAGGTATCCACACCATCACTCACACTACTCCACTGTGAAATTTTCTCATTAACAGAGGGCTCTAATCAATGATTTTCGGTGGCTGACTTAGACATTGTTAGCCTCAGAGTGGGCACTATTTTTATTAAGAAAGAAAACAAACTATATATCTATATATATATATTACTGGTACTTTTACCTGACATTCACCTGGCCCTGTCATGGTAGGGGACTGGGTTTTTTTGGCAGCTCTTTTAAAATATTTGATTTAATGTTTTAGTTGGTATGTGAAGCAGGAAGCTTGTTAAATAAGGAAACTGCTGTGGTTGTTGTATGGCCTATATTACCTTTTGCCTTAAAGGTTCAGTGTGTAGAATTTAGTGACATCTAGAGGTGAAGTTTCCCAACATGAAAGAAAACCTGTGGTGAACTTCAGTTGTCATGGAAACTTAAAAGGTTTTAGTCTGTCCAGTTTGGCCGACAGTAAAATAACATGGCGGCCTCCACAGAGAGGACCCCCCCCCCCCAAAAAAAAAAACAATTCATACAATTTAGATGAAACACACCAGTGAAAACATCACTAGGTATATTTTATATTCAATTTCTGCCAAAAATCCCTTTCACCTAAATCTTACACACTGAACATTTAAGGCAACGACTGACAAAGCCATCATTTCTGTGCAATGAGACGCCTCTTTTCCTCCACTGAAGCACATTTTTAATAAGAGGCCTGAGCTCTGTGTTTTGTCCTCCCCCTCTGAACCTCGCCTCTCGCTGCCCAATTAAGGCCTAGTTCTTCTTTTCTTCACCCAGCTTGAGAGGATGGTCTCTCTCGGTAGAATTAGTCCAATTACTCCCGTCTTTTACTGCAGCTCGATAATTAGATTCACGAGTTCTCTAAGGAGTGCCACTCCACTTTAGCTGTCTTTCTTTCCCTGAGGGTGACGAGAAAAGAGAAGACTGAGCTGACCTTTCAGGTAGCTTCCTACATCCCAGCCAATGTCGTCTGTTGAGTGCAGTTTTTGCAAGCAACATAAAGTTGGATCTAACAGCACATCTTGACAAACGGCTGACTCCTGCTGGACAGTTTTATGTTTTCTCTAAGTATTTCTTTAAACCCCTTTTAAATATATCTGTGGAAGAGAATATTTATTTTCGAATGGAAATAGCAATCGTTGGCTTAGTAACGCTGTAGCTTTTGGTTCTGAAGTGTCTTGTTCATGCATTCGTGAATTAATCGATTGCTCTAGCCTCTTCTATACCTCTCTAAAGAAGTCAGGTATGGTAAGCATGCCACTGCTTGGTGATCCGGTATGTTCCTCATTCTCCCTCCAACATATATGGTATGCCAAATGTTTACTTTTAAAGCTTTTTTTGTAATAGTGGTTCTGTCAGTGACACTCATCACTCATGTAGAGTTTATTTTGATGACACAACAACGAAGCCATACGTCTCAGTGTGTTTGTTTTTGACATCTTTCATACCCTCTGTATACTTTGCCATAAGATAATCTTTATGTAGAATTGTATAATTACAGATTTTTTGACTTAAAATTTCAATAGTGCCATTCATAAAAGACCATTTTCCTGAGCATTGTTAGTAATTGAGAATTAATATTTGGACTTTTTCATTAATCACCAGTCAGTTGAAAATGTAAAAAAGATATGAAGTGTTTTTATTTTGCAGTTTGATGATTAGTTGTGTTGGTTTAACATTATTGAATACCTCAGCTGTTAAATATGACCTCATGCCCCTGTGTTTGTTGATTATTAATTATGGGATGGAGATCAAGCAGTTTGTCAACAACCTGTGGATGTTTGATATTATTGTTTCAACAGAGTCACTTGAGCACAGATCAGCATATTTTAAAACACAGATTTTAAACTCATACTATCATGCTGACTTGTCACTTTTCAGTTTTACACTCTCAGTCTGGTGTAAAACAGGTTTGGCTGCTGCTGCTCATGAACTTCATGTTGAGTAAATTATGAGTGTGGGGCGAAGCAACAGTTGCACTGACGTGGTGAGAAGACGCTTGTGTCTTCAGAGCCTACGCTTCCTGTGTATATATTGGTTTTGATTGTTTGCATAGCGGGTTGGATGTAAATAGTTATTTTATGATTTGTATGTATTTTATAGTAATATATGGCTGGTTTAAGCTACACTGGGTCAAGAATGAAACATTTGCCTCATGCCTTATTTGGACACACTGTAGAAGAGGAAGGAGTGAACTATTCTGTCGTTTTTTTTGGTTGAATACTTTGAACGCCAACGGCAGCCGAGAAAGTGCTTCTGATAAGAGGCAGAGATATGGACGATTTACATGATCCCCAATTGCTTGAATACAAATAAACTGACTGGTACAATAAACGATAACAAACACCTCATTACTGAGTCAGAGTTGCTCTTTACATGAATGAACTCTTCTGTCTCACACCTCATTACTGTAAATGTCCTATACCAAAGTTAATAACTTGAAATTTCAGAACAATTTCTAATGTGTGCATAAAACCTCAGTGTGATGAAATTAATAACGGATTAAAGTTCCGTACGAGGCTGCAAGTAACAATTATTGTCATTGATATTTACGGCAAGTTTCTCAAATCATTAACTTCTGTATATGAAATGTCTAAAATAAAAAGGAAATAGCTCACGACAGGAATGGGCAGCCATGATGACATCTTTTAAAAAGCAGTTGTGTCTGACCAACAGTTTAAAAGTAAAAATATTACATTTGCATTTATTTAGAATAAAAAAATATAAAAAAGCAATCATTGCAGAAAAGCTGGATTTTGTTTGGTAATATTTAATTCATAATATTATTTAATTAATTAGTTCCTGAAACAGATGCGGTTATGAATTTTCACCACTGGGTGGCACATTTGGTCTGATTTCTGATTTGTCTGCTGCTCTGCTTTGGAGACAGGGCTCATTATGCGTGCAGGAACCCTGGACTTTACAAGACATTTAATTCTTGGGGTGGATCATATACTTTCATGCTTCTTTCTTATGAAGACGTGTTCTGCCTTATTCAAGCAACTTCTTAAGAAAACATCACTTTGTCATTAGGGCCACCGGCCACTGTGGTTTGACATGAGGACAGATACAACAGGACAAAATAATTACTGCATGTCTACACAGGCAGCAGAAGAAAGACAGGACTGGACCCAATGAGCTCTCCTAAAACAAAATGTCCTTAGTGTGTGTGTGTGTGTGCGCGTGTGTGTGTGCGAGCGTGCGTGCGTGTGTGCGCTCACTCTTACAAATTCCTTTCTCTCTAAACAGAGTTCAGTGGTCAGTATTTTGCCTGAATAAGGCAGCGCTCACAGTTTTTTCCTTTTGTTAACTCCTTTAATTTCTCACTAAATTATTTCCCTGCAGCTGACTTCTTCAAATTAACTGTGACCAAGCCAAATGTGTGAATAATAAAAAAAAAAAAAAAACGGAGTGTAGCTGAGGGAAGGCCCGATAAAGTTTCACATGACATCATCCATCCAGGATGCAGTGGCCAGAGGAGGCGAGACTGATTGACCTGGACCTGATTGTGGTTCCTTCCTCCTCCTCCTCCTCCTCCTCCTCCTTCTCCTCCTACACCTTCTTCCCATCTTGGGTGGTTCTTGTGCACGACCTCCTCTCGCTCTCCAAACAGGAATCCCGCGCTGTGGTGAGAGGTCTGATGTCAGACCTCAACTCTCACTGCTCTCAAAGACAAGTGCGCTGAAAACTTCTGAGGAGCCCAAAGACTCACAAGATCCCATCAACAGGTGAGTGACACTTCATCTCAGCAGGCCAACAAAACCACAACCATTCAATTTACATTTCATACTGTATTCTATCTCCAAATCTTTTAAGCTTTAAATAATCTCCTTCTCCTCTGTGTCTGAGCACATAGTTTTGCATTGTTATCAGATTCTTGTTGCAATGGTCTTGTTCCACTACATTATTATATTTGTACGTGCTTTTGCTCCGTCTCTGCTGCACTCAGCCTGTTGCTGAGACACACTGAGTGCTACTTCACTAAGACAAACAAATTTTTTTGCGTGGACGCTCAGTATGTTTCTGTTAAGACTCACAAAACTGTTTATATTTGAAGACTGCAAGTAGAACAGATGCAGTGTTTTATGCTGCGTTTCTAGGGTTATTCAGTGTAAACACCGGAGCACTATCTGGTCTGTTTAAATGATTCAGACACATCCAGTCCTGATGAATGTTGGATTTCTGAATCCAAGTTGTTCCATTTGCATGTCAGAAAAGTCAGAGTCAACTGTTGTGTGTTTATGTGTGTTGATTTTCAGACATGGAGACAAAAACAGACGGTGGATCAGCTGCAGTGTCCAGTGAGGAACTGGCTGCTATTGAAGATGAAGAGGTTCTCAACAAGATGGTGAGCCAACGATTGATCTCTCACCATAGTGTCATGGAAACATGGTGATCATTTGACCAAATATATAATATATGATGCAAATAGTGTTTGAAGAGCACGGTCAGAATTAATAGCTTGCCACTGTAGAGAGAGTTTTCCTTTTCTTTTGTTTTGCTTTTCCAGCTGGACAACGCAGGGGATTTCGACGAGAGACGAATGATTCGTACTGCATTAAGAGACCTGATGAAGAAGAAGAGAGGTAAAAGCTGAGTGAGCCTTGAGCCACATTCTCCTCTGACACTGCCTGCTTTCTAAATTCTCCAACCGTCTGTGATCAGATAAACGGGAGAAGGAGCGAGGGTCGAGGCAGCAGGACCTGAGGCAGCAGGGCCTCGGCAAAGGAGCGACGACAGGCTCAGCAGTTAGCACAGGCAGAGCGTCCATGAACCAGCAGGCATCAACAAACAGTAAATCAGATTAATACAGCTAATCTCTGACACCTCTGTTGCCCATGAATATATTATACTCAATGTTTTACTGTGGCTGATGTTCTCTTTTTAGAACCGACAGGTCAGTCCTCTCCATCAGCCTCCACTCCCTTCAACCGGACAGCAGGCAGGTGAGTCACATTTCAGCACATGAACTTTAAAAAGAATGATTATAAAAAACATTGAGAAAGGATTCAATTAGACATTCCTACAAATTCAGCTCCTTTTCATCATTTTTATTATACAATGTTCGAGCACATTTTTAAACACTTGTATTTTATTGATTAATTAAAAAAAAGAAAATATCAGTACAGAACTCCAGCAACAATAATTACTAGTTTCTATATACAGCAATGCTTGATTTGTAACCAGCTCTACACAAAACATATAGGAAAAGGAATCTCAACCTTCTCATTCTGACAATTTCTCCATCATTTCTCAGCCTGAGAGGGAAAATCCATTCTTCCATCTCATTCGTTTCTTTGATGATTCAGAACCAATCATTGTTTGGCCATTTTTGAAACTGGAGTTGATGCTGCCGCTGATTGTTTATTACACGGCAAATTAAATCCATTGTATTTGTATTAAGGACTCTCCTGATGCATGCCAGCATCAGTTTCTTTCAAAGGGAGTTAAGTCATCCTGTGTATTTATTTAGTGACCTCATACACCCAAAAGAAAAGGAAAAGTTTCTTCTGCTTAAAGCAACATTTGCTAAATCCTGAATATCTGTGATATATCATTGTGTCCTCTCCTCAGCCCGACCAGTCCTGCTGCAGCCTCAGTCCAGAAATGCCCTGCTGCTGCAGTACCCAATGCTAAAAATGTCAAACAGATGCTTCTGGATTGGTGCAGGGCCAAAACAGAGCCATATGAGGTAAATATGCCCAGACTCTCTTATTGCTCCGTGGAGCTATACATAGCTCTGTCCCTTATGGCTCACTCTCTGCCACTATTTCTTCTAAACTGACTCTGCTGTGGTGTATGAAACAGGGGGTGAAAATCCAGAACTTCTCCTCAAGTTGGAAAGACGGCATAGCCTTTTGCGCCTTAGTGCACCGGTTCTTCCCTGATGCGTTCGAGTACTCCATCCTCAACCCCAACAAGCCCAGGGACAACTTCCAGCTGGCTTTCAACACTGCAGAGTAAGCGCTCACTCCTTATATGACCATAGAGATGTACCTTGTCTGGAATGAGCTCTGGCAGTAAATTGCAGATAAAGACAGGGCAGCTTTACAGTTTGACAACATACTTGTCTGTGTCATTGTTTGCCTGGAGTCGTTTGTCAGTGACTCTCGCTCTCTGCCTGCAGGAGGCTGGCAGGCTGCCCCCCTCTGCTGGACCCTGATGATTTAGTCCGGATGAAAGAGCCCGACTGGAAGTGTGTGTACACGTACATCCAGGAGTTTTACCGCTGCCTGGTGGAGAAAGGCCTGGTGAAAACCAAAAAGCGGCTGTAGACTCCCGGAACAGTCAGACACAGCCTTGCATGACTCAATGTGATTTCAATCAAAACAAACATTATAGAACAACATGAGTTCAAAACATAATATCATGCACTCTTGTCAGTTTGCCACAGGGGGAAAGGTTAAGTGTTCAATGTGTTCAACTCTGATGCCCCATACGAACATGAATGTAAAGTGCCTAATGTGTAGTATTTGTACTGTGTGTGTGTGTGTGTGTCAGCAGGGACTTATGGTTGTCTGTGTGCTCTCAGTGGACAGCTGGTGCTACGGATCAGTACATTCCACTGAGATTACACATCTGCATTAATCCCAGTCAAGGCCATGGAGAATCTGGGAACAAATTTTTCGATGATGCTGTACAGGGACTGACATGTGTGAGTATTAAAGACACAGTTAATACTCATCCATTCCATTATCAGGCTGTTTTTCTTGAGATATCAAACGTTATGTTGATGGATAAGTTGACAATTTAGAATATATATTTAGAAAAGTACAATAGAGGGAATAGATGGTGTTTTATTTGAAACATTTCCACCAACACCTGTATGAATGGTTTAAATGTGCAGTGTGTGATTATGGGATGTTTATATGGGCACTCCACTAGCATGGTGAATAAACACAGCCTGAATAAACATTTCAATGAGTGAATTGTTTTTTTGAAATTCCACTTTCCAGTTTGTTCCATTTGATGAAGTTTTCTGTGTCTATTGTTGTTGAGGTTCTGATAATGACTCTTGTGATGTCATCAGGGGGGTTGAGATGTTTAACAAGCAAACTTTTCTGAGGCCCACAACTTTATTTGCTGGAATGCTCCTTCAACAGGAAGCCGTCATGAAATCCCTGCACCAGTTTCTCCAGACGTAGACACATGGACATATGCACGGCTTATGAAACAAAACCAGCTCAATACCTTTTTAGGACTTTTAATTATTACATTGAGTAGGGCCACTGAAATGCTAATATTAAATAGAAGCCAAAAATTTTTAGGTGGAAAATTTGCTCTTGCAGTCGTGCATTGCATCACAAGGGCACATCAGGAATCAGGACAATATTTAGCATAAACATGATGCTTCAAAAATTACATTTAATGAACATGCTTTCAACACAGTCTCTGCAAAATGTAATTTTACAAATGACTGGCACAAATGCAAATAAACCATTAATTGCGTAGTTGTTTTATCGATTGCATTAGATTGTTGTTGCGCCTCATGAGGGAAAGTGAAGTTTATTTAACGGCCATGTTAATCAATTCTCCCCATCAGTGACACACCAATCCCAGATTGGGCTAGGGAATGCATCATGCATCCCAGATGGTGCGTCACTGATATGGGACAGATGATCAGTTCATTCTGGTCAGACGTGTGTGTGTTCCTGTACTTGTGTATTTGTGAGGACCACTTTAAGCACATAGATCCTACAGAGTGAGGACTTTTTGACGGGTCCTCACTTTATCATTGGGCTATTTGATAGTTAAGACTTGGTTTTAGAATTAGGGTTTGTCATGTAGTTCGGTTGGTTATGGTATCCTAGGGAATGCAAGTCAAACATGTGCATGTTCCTGTACTTCTGTATTTGTGAGGACCACGTCAAGCATATAGAACCTACAGAGTGAGGACATTTTTGGAAAGTGAGGACATGGGTTAGAATTAGGTTAATATTAGGGTAAGGGTTAGGGAATGCATTATGATAATGAGTGTCCTCAATAAGATAGAAGTACAAATGTGTGTGTTTTTCTATAGTTGCGAGAGCCAATTTAGGTTCAATACCTTCATTGTGAGGACAATTGAAAGTGTGAGGACAACTTCTCTGATCCTTGGGTTTAGGGTAAGGGTTAGGTTTAGTTGTGATGGTAAGGGGCTTGGGAATGCATCATGCCAACGAGTGTCCTCACAACTATAGACAGACGTGCATGTGTGTGTGAAGGAGCGAGAGAGAGAGGGAGAGAGAGGGGGGTGGGGGTGCACCGTGAGCGCGCCCGGTGGGTTATGGGTACGGTGCCGGTGTGCAGGAAGTGCAGGCGGGATGCTGCTGAGAGAAAAGCGCACCGCTGCTCCGTCCATCCGCGATAAGAGGGATGAGGAATAATCAGCTGTTGTGTTGTGGAACCAACATCCACATGCAGGAGTCCGACACCAGCGAGCGCCTCCTCCTGTCCTGACAGCCCGGCGGAGCGGCGCGGAGAAGCGGGTCCGTGCACCGTGACGGAGACGACCGCTGTCCACGGCACCGACGGGTCCCATCCGTCCTGCTGGCCGTCACCGGACCGGTGTGTCCCCGGACCAGTAAACAACCGACCCTGCCCTCGCCTCTCTCTCTCTCTCTCTCTCTCTCTCTGTCTCTCCCGGTGTGTGTGTGACCGTCCTGTCGCGTTGATTGAAGGAAGACTGATGCTTCCCCTCTCGGTGCGTTTGTGAGATCACCTTTGCGGTTCACCTTGGAAATAAGAAAAACGCGTGAAAGGTAAGAAATGTTTTCACGAGGTCTGTGAGACACAACAGCTTCTGTCCTGTTCGTGTTTTCACTGGGATGCTGCTCAGTCCAGACTCATATGATGGAGCTGTCATCCAGACTCACAGGCTCATGCACTGGGTTATAAAATATGAAACAGGCCCACTTGTCCTCAGGTATTTAATCAATGAAAGTTCCCACTTTCTAAAGTAGATCTATTACCAAACTTGAATCATCACCAATCCCTGCTTTTGTTCTGCAGATAATAACAGAATGGGGGTCAGATCAATGTTCCAGACACAAAGAGCTTTTCATTTGCATGTCATGAATACTTTAAAAGAGGTGTTTCATTTCTGTGTGGGAGGGAAGGTAAACAAAATGGCTCCATGTCCTCCTGTCATGTCAGGCATATCCTCTATCTGGTGACCTATCCAGGATCTGCTGACATTGTCTGATGTCCTCTGTCTTCGGCAGCTTTTCGTCCCCTCGCATGCATCCCCCTGTTTTTGAGATCTGAGATCAAACTGTATCAAGATCAAACACTCCATTCCAAAATGACCAAACCTGTCTCCTGCTTCGTAGAAAGGGTCGGGGGTAAATAAAGCTGCTGAGCCACTGATGTAACCCAGGATGAAGGTTTAGTTCCTCAGCCCTGTCACCTGCTCATGAGAACATCATCAGAGATTCCTAAGAATCACAAAGCAGTGTTGCATCCGTTGTGTTGTGCTGTTTTTTTAAAACAAAATTCATGTTTCAGGTCGATGGATCACATGCCGCAGAAACAAACCAGCACTGACCCATGTGGGGTCAAAGTGCAGCCTGGACCCTGTGCGTTACTTGCAGCCGGTCCAGGTTTACCTCCACAACTTGCCATCCAGGAGCCAGCTCTCATCATCCCACCAGAGTTCCCCAACAAACCAAAGTCTGGGTTGAGCCCCGTCCAGGCACCGGTTCCACCCGTGAAAGTGACAGAACCGACAGGCCACACAAGCACAGCGACGCTGACGAGCATAAGTCGGCCAAGACCGACCGCCCTCGGGACTAAACCTGCTCCGAAGCCGACCAGGATCCCAGCTGACCTCTCCAAGGAAATAGATTTGATCCCAGTTTGCATCCCAGGACCTCAGTGTGCCAACGTCCTGCCACAGACTGAGTCCTCCCTTCCTCTCCACAGTCCTCAGAGTCCCCACAGTCCTCAGAGTCCCCACAGTCCTCAGAGTCCCCATAGTCCTCAGTCTTACACCAACCAGCCTTACCTGAGTCCCACTCCCAGCCCGAACCCACCCGCCAGCCTCAGTCTCAAACCAGGCCTCAGTGTTCAGTCGCAGAGGAGCCCTTCA